TTTTTATCGGTGGCTGGCTACCAAAAACATTGAATAACCATGGCTACAGAGGAATCTAATGTAAACATAATCCATTCTTGCCATACGGACTTAACACAATTGACACTTACCGTCGCTTTCAGGCCAATATTACTTCAACAACAACAATAACTCACTAAAAACAAAGAGCCCGCTCCTAGTTCGAAGCGATATCAGCTGAGCTGAACATCCTTGCAAAAGACCGGTTGGTGGCGTACTTCAGTCTAAAATCAAAGATAAACTGTCCAAAGCTCCCGTGCGAATACAGAAAATACGTAACCATTGTTGTTCCATAAAATAATATCTAGGAAATTTCCAACACTCCGTTAAGGGGCGATGGCATTAGAAGTTAGGATCATCAGCCAGTAGATATTCAGGTCTAAAATTTTGCTTGCACAGACTGCAATTTATATAATATGCATGATCATACAGACATTCAGACAGACACACCAAACTCATTAGCTCCCTTGATTGTTGATTTGTTCTTAAAACGTCAACTTGTGATTCCGAGATCATCTCATATATAGAATAGAATATATATACACAAGTCATTAACTTTGTTTTTTTTTTTATCATAATATTTGTCAGAAAATATGCATGTTAAAGTGTTATTTCATGAAACAAATAGTGTTCATCAGAATGTTCCAATAATTTGAGACATTCAAAATTATCTATCGTATAACTAGATGTGATTTTGTTTCACGATATGTGATTTTTTTAGATATGGCGAAAAAAATCTACTACAAATTTGTAAATGGCACAAAAAGCGTCATTAAACGTTATACATCATGTCATTAACAAATTGGTCGGCAGCTTTAAATTAATTTTGGATGCACGGGAGAAGGTAGTGATATACATCTTACATATGTCTATAGTCATATTCGCCGAAAATTTCAGAAAGAGGAGTGGGAGGGAAAAAATTAGTTGTTAAAATCGGTAACGGCGCGTGTGGATCGCTGAAAGAGAGAAAAATGACCAAGAAAGGAACAGTTCGGTATTATCTACCAAATGTATTCTGTGGGAAAAAAAGAACATTCCGTTTAGGGGACACAGAGATGATATATTTCACGGAAGACGGAAAGGTGAATACATGAAATTTACAAGGCATTAGCGCTTTTCTAAGTTCGTATAGTTGCCCCGCCCCCTAGTAACGCTTTTCATGCACTGGGTCTAAAAAGATAAAAAATTAATTTTAAAAAGCACGCGGAAAGTCCTAATTGCCATTTGTGGTGAGATATTACGGCCATACCAGGCTACTTCTTATAGTAACCGTGCTTCAATTAAAGAAACCATTATTAAACTCCATTGGACTTGATATGTTGTATTGCAGGTAAAGTGATTATAACTGCTGTTATTCAATTTCATTTTCGACTTGTCTTTTAATGGTGCTTTTGAATTATCAAAAAATAATCACCACTTTTTTCAGAGGTCACTGCTGGCAGTATGTCTGGTAGAGTGAAAGGTCTAGCTGGCATAATGAAAAAAAACCGCCCGAAAGCATATCACGTATACACCGTCGATCACTTGTTTAAGACATGTAATGACCAGGTGATAAAATACTAGGAATATGACGAATAAATATCAATGCATTTTTCAGATAGATTGAACACCTAGATGCAATGGATTGTGTAATTGCTCCAATTAGACCGGTAATTGTTGCTTTAAATGTGACGCGGTTAGGCAAATACTGCTATGAAACCGTTTCAAATGCAAATTGGCGATATCATCGGCTCACCGGTAGTGAATGTTTAATTTCATTGTATGTGTTCCCAGGGTGAATGTGACAGCTGGTGTTACGGCCGTGCACGCATGGACTTACCATTAAGCTAAATGGATAGTCCATTAATATGTACACTGCCTATTAGGATATGCAGTTGTCATTTTTAACTTTAGAGGGCATTCGCCAGTCAAACCACAAGTAATTAATTCGACATGTGATTTAGCACGTAAAGTAGGCATAATAGTAACACAGCCAAATATTTTTGTCAGGCAGACCCATCGAATTAACATTCCAGCCACTAGTCCAGAAATTATATTATTGTTTATCAGTTTCAATTCTATTTTTACATCATCTGTTACAGGAATTGAGAACCATATTCTAGGACGGTCAAGAGAATATAAGTCCACGTGTCAGCGCTCATGCACCCTTCCTATGCAAATACTCTCCAAATTTGGAAGGATAAATGTATGCTATTTGCCAACGGGTATGACGATGACACACCGTCATCACCATGCCATTGAGAGCTGAGTTATATCTCTGGAAAAGAAAATAGTCTAGTGAAACTTACCTTCTAGATTCGGCAGTTGCGACACTTGCCGTAACAGACTCTGTTATTTTTTCTGAATATTACAATTTGCCTTATACCAGAAGTAATATTACCAGGTACTTCACGTGAACATGAAGGGTCAGTGTCTGGCTGCGTCGTACACGGGAAGCACCATAACCAGTACGCGACTGAATGACCTCGCCCTATACTCCGTTGCTATAATAGTATAATACCAGTAAAGCAATATACGTGTATTTTCTTTGCAACATCCACGTCGAACGCAGATGGTGGATATCTTGGAAGATGAATAATGCCGATGAATAATATACAAGTTATATCCATTAATATTTTTTTCTGATCGTAAATAAATATGACACTCGTTTAAATAACATTTTGTGTTTGTTTCTTATATAAAAGCCGAATCGTTATCAAACTGGTCGCCAGCTTTTCGTTTTATGACGGTCATTCTTATCGGTCGCAGGATTATGCTTCCCAGAGGTTATCTAGATACAGTGAAAAGCTTTATAAATTCTTTTAATTTTCAAAAAATCGTAAGCGAACAAGATGACGGACTCCCCGCATTAGTTCCAAGGATGGCATCATCTCATATATAAGACACTATGTTCCAAGGTATATTCTTGTTCTCTTATATTTAACTCTATATTTTTAACTCTTATATTTAACTCTCTTATATTTAACTCTACTCTAATTCTCCCTCATTTAACATGCTGCATTGAAATTTGGGGCAACACTTATTCGACTTTTCTGAAACCACTCGTGCGCCTACAAAGATTTATCGCTCGCAGGATTATGCTTCCCAGAGGTTATCTAGAAACAGCGAAAAACTGTCTCAATACGTTTAATCCCCCCATATCGTGCTCACCACCGCTGACCCAAGGATCCAAATAGTACATGTAATCGCAAACTATCAGTATTTTGAGGTGGTTACATTAACATTTGTGTGGTAATCACTTTCAAACTCTGGACCCGCCTCTGTGTCTTCATTGGTGTTTGACACATTTGTGTGCGAAGAATAGAGTTCAATGACCTTACTTTTTATTATCGAGTAACAGCATAAAATAAAACAACATTGTGAAAGACATGGATATCTGAGGATAAGTTTTAATGGTAGCAAACATTTACTGATAAAAGTGTGATGAATACTAGTATATATGAATGAATACATGCATTATCTGCATGGTCTTGACAAATTGGCACTGATCACAGCCTAGTAAGTCATTTTTTATTAGTTTTAGTAGTTAGTATACAATATAGTCAGAACAGCGGGGTTGCCTATTCATATAAAAAAAACTTAGAAAAATTGAGAAAAGTGTCTACAACGTTGTCCCGTAACTCGAAGTTCGGTCAACTGTTGATTTGAGTTCAAGTTACTAAATTTGTACGTTAAACAAAACAACAAATCTATGTTGCCAGTAACTCGAAGACTATTAATTAAACATTATAGGCTTGGTTCGCAAAAGTGGACGTAGTTTCTAAAACATGGGCGTGGTCATAACTCGATGTGATCCATGTATTTGTGCGAATTATTGACATTGCTCCATGTATATCCAAATACCAGAGAAAACATCATTTTCACTCCTATTTTTGACCCAAAATGACAATGTTGTGTCCAAAACACTACCCGAAAGTGCATGAATCGCCACAAAATGCCAGTAAAACATGTATTCTATTATAATTTGCATTTGTGCCACAATTGCTCTATTTATGTATCAGAAAAAAACACATAATTTTATCTCCTATTTTTGACCCAAAATGACATAATGTACGCACATTTGGTTCACACAATGTTTTAAGTTATTATTTAGGGGGAAAAAATGTTGCATGTTTAAGGTAGATATTATAAACATATATTACATGAATTTCATAGACAGATTGTTTACTAATTGTATTCAGTAGCGGCAATTTCGCAATTCTTTGACCGTGGTAATCACGTGATCGTGCCAACGGCAGCAGCGATTGGCTGGTCGCATTTTTACTCTGCCACGCCTCAGTGTTTTACGGGAGAGTTTGTGAGATTTGGTAAGAGAAGAGAAAGCGAGGGGTTACCTCGGCTAATGGTTTGGACGATTGAAGCTGGATTATTTATGTATTCCTTTGGGTCGAATCTGGTATTTCGAAAGTGCAAGAATTATCTGCCAAGTGAGCTGAAGTTCCTTGCACACTACGCCAGTTCGTTACAATATTGTCCTCATGTACTACCCACTACAAGTGCACGTATAACCATTAAATGTCAGCTGAACACGTATTCAAACAAAATTTTTCCACTCAAAACACGATCTAAAATGCACGAATCACCAGTAACATGTAAATTAATTTGATTTGTATTTGTACCAGTAATGAAATAGCTCAAGGCGTTGCTGTATACTAGTACCAGAGAAAACATTGTTTTAGACCATTTTGGCCTCAAAAACACACTTTTAACTTTAAAAAAATGTATACATAGTACACATTGCCTTCGTAAGAAATTTCAATGAAATTGATCAGTGCATGGAAAGACGGACGGGACGATGTGATTGATCAAACTGTAACAGTTGAAACGATACTAAAACGCCAGAGCTTCGAACCGATTTAAAACAGTATTGTAGCTACATGCGACATTGCCCTCTGGTGTGCAAAACGTAAAAATGAAGGACTAAGTAGAGAAGTGGAATGGGGGCGCTGATTCCCAAAATTTTTACAAAATGGCGACTGGTGTGTGTGCATTTCGAAGGCTGGCCTTTCTTTCAACAAAACACCGTGGCTTCCTGAATGTTTCAACAAAACACAGATCATGTATATTTACAAGGCATTCTTCAGGGTGGAATTATTTACCGCAATCGCCACCAGAAGAATTAGGTAAGCTGTACCTCTATTGTCAAGTTAGCTGCGGTTCCGTAGCTCTTTGGTGCGACCTACAATCGAATTTCGCCCTAACAATTTCATTTGGACGTCTTTTTTTTAATTTTGTTGTTGTACGTCGAACATATGGGCCGGCCAGAGTCAGTCACGTAAATAATGCGGTCGGCAACATAGGGCTATGGTTCCACAGCTATTGTCAAGTATACTTAAACGGCCGATGACCCAGATAGAGATAATTTATGGCGTAATTTCCCTGGTCGATTACACAGAACCCCAGTATGTGCCATTGCACTTCAATTCGTAAATGGTACACCAATAATATACCCCTATGACAGTCACCACGACGTACGCGTAAAATAATTATAAAAAAATATCCCAACTAGTTCTATTTATAATGGTCTGTAACCCAGAAACCTATAAACGAGTCATTGCCCCTCGAATCAGTAAATAAACGCACGCTATAAGACAGCATGACGTACGTGTTCTACATAATAATAATAATAATCTCTCGGCTGCATGGAGAGTGTTAGCAATCTGGAACCGTCAACCGTCAATGACCCCGACCATGGCGAGTGATAATGGTCGATAACCCAGAAACCTTATTACGCGTCTTTTCACATTGATTTGCAAAGGGTATGCTAATATCCGCACCTGATACTCTGAATATAATTATATTGCTATTACTAAAGGTTAACATCCTGATATTAATCTCGTTTATTCAACAAACAACAAATTTGGCCAGGCCTCAGGAAGCTAAATGTGAAACAGCTTGTGATTGCCAAGAATGTTTAATTGTTCTGCACATTCTGAGGTCAGTGACCTTTTAATACCATATGTTATTAGGGTCAGCAATTTTTAATATCATTGGTTGATTTACCATAGCATGCCACCTTACACTAGATTCCATTGTTTTGTTTGAAACAAGTTTTCAATGAACATTTTATTGTGATCTCGACACACACTGTGATCATAGTGACTTATGGTAGCAAGAAGGGTTTGATGACGTTTTTGAATAAAGCATTCTCTGTCTGATGTTTCATTCAGAACCGTGAGAAAAGACGGAAAAGTTTGCGCAAACTGGATAGTCATTGTTTACATATCGGCAAGTACCACTTGGCAACAAAAATGGCGAACCTTGTAAAAATGTCTAAATCCGTGATTGCGATTGTTTTGGAGGTGGTGTCATGATTTACCAGGGTTGAAACTTTCGTGGTATTATTGCCGTAACGCATACAGTAATAATGAATGAACATGACAGCTACAGTTGGAAATCAAAATTTCTTTTTTTTTGGGTTATTTATAATGAATATGGATTTTAAACTACACGTGCCTTTTCCCGAAACCAATATGATCACACAGAGAGTAACTTTAACTATAATGTACCGACTTTGCTTAAAAACACTCAATATCTCTAGATGTGACACGTACAGAAGTGCTTCAAACGAGCGAAGAAATTACTATTATGTCACCGTTAATTGTCTCCCCACAAGCACAACACGCATTGTACTTGGGTCGGGGTCACACCTTGGAACAATAGCGTTTTCCAACCGGGTGTGAAGGGACTGTGGTTTAATTTAAATAAATGTGTCTCTCGGCTTACGCTTGACACCTTGGACCTGATTGTCATACTCACAAATGTGTTTGGTTGGAAATGTACAAAACTGTGAAACACTTAAATTTGGGATTAATAATGGTCTTGACAAATGCAGCTATTTCAGCATGCATTTCATTACCGTGACAAATTAATTTAAAATGTTTCCAATGTTGTAAAAATTGAACAAAGCAAATTTCTCATGCTGACTACCTTTTTGGTTGGCTTCTCCGAAAAATATGCACACATCTACGTACCTTTGGCAAAAGTGAAAATCCCCAGGTCAAAAATCATCACATCAGAAATTCTGTAATCAGAAGATAAAACATAGAGACGAATGTCTGCAGTGATCTTACATGGCAGACTGCAAGAAACTTATCCTCATTATGAATATATGGAGCAGAACAGCTTTTTACGTGTACATTACCCCCCTATAGCACCTTCCTCTTGTTACGCTAATAAACATAAGCCTTTTCAAAAATGTCATTCCAACAAACTGCTCAAGTGAAAAAAAACCTATTGATTTCAAAGTTGGGCTCACATATCTACTGTAAGCCGGCTCTGCTCCTGATTTCTTGTTTTTAAAGTGAGACTACAGAGATAGAGAGGTCCTTTATTTAAATTTGACCACAGACCATTATTTTTTCCATTCTTGACTATCACAATTCCTACACATTTTATGCGATAACACGATATTGTTATATGTGTTATTTTCCCCACAAAATTTTCCAGAAAGAGCCAAGGAAACCAACTAATTGGACTGTCTATTTATTGCACAAATTTATTTATTTGGTTTTGTCAGGCACTGATCAAGGCACACCGTTTTTAGCGTCATTTGCAGTTTTAAACTATCACAGATTCTGTTACTGGGTTTGATAACTGGGTTGCCAATCTATGGGATATTGCAAGTTTTGGGAATTGAGACATTGAAAGTATCTAAATTAAAATATTTCAATCTTTGTGTGATTTTATTTCAGGAGAAGCTACGAAAATGAATTTATTTCAGGCTGTCACTAACGCACTGGACATATCCCTTGCAGCTGATCCAACTACAAGTGAGTATACTGCCCTCACACAGTACACTTGAAATTGTGCAGTGAGTATACTGCCCTCACACAGTACACTTGAAATTGTGCAGTGAGTATACTG